ATCCGAAGGGTGCCACCAACACACCTTCCCTGGGCGTTCGGCCTGGTGGATCCCGAGTGTGAATTAATGTGTGTGGCACCGCAGTGTTGGGGGGAGATGCAGAAAGGGAGTCTGCAGATTAAAGGATTAGAGGGTTGTGCTTTTGTTTAGTTTGGTTGTGGGTTTTTTTGTTTAGAGGAGGATGGAAAGGCTGGAAATATCTAAGTTGATCCATCAAATCCTCTGTGCCGTCTTTGGATTGCTTAAGCAATTATTATTAATTTTTTTCAAGGCGGTATGTTACTATTTTGTGACTAGTTTTGGGTGCTGTGTGTTCAGCTTATTTGCATATTACAATATTGTTGCATTTGATTTTTTGTAAGGATCATTTACTGTCTGTTGAATAGCAAAATCAGTGTCTTGAAGCAGAATGTAGCTGTTCATAACTGAAAGACATACAGTAAAAGCTACACAAAATGGGAAATATCTTTTCTGCAGCCTTCCAAGGTAACAGTTGTAATCCTGTATGCTAAAATTCAGTATTGTTTTAATAAAGGGTAAGAGAAAATGAGGCTTTGGATCAGGCAGAACTTCATTAGACAAAGACAAATACTGCATGCCATCAAACGTCAATTTATATTCTGTTACAAAAAGGTCTGTGCAAAGTGTTGGTTGGTGCCACCTTCATTGGTAAATGTTTCCACTGGAGGATCCAGGCTGAGGAAGCATGGGAATTAAAATTGCCAGCTGTCATCTATTTACTAGGGCAAGAACTGCCTCTTTACTGAAAAGTTGCATAGTAATTTCTGGTGGTGATCTGACATCGATCTGCCATCATTATTCATTTTACCTACTTATGACAAAATACTTCTTGGCTGCATTTAAGGTTGTGGGTGTCAGCTGGAGCAGAGCCTTCCGTTCCGAGTGCTTCTGATAGGGTTGCGCTACGTCAGAGACCGCCTGTAGCTTGCTTTATCTCTGCGGTAGTCTGCCACGTTTCACTGAGACGTGCTTTGGGGGCAGGTGTGTAGGTACCTCTGTGTGGAAGGGGGAGTCAAAAAATTGTTGTTGGAAACCATGCTGTGAGTTGGGGCTGCGTTAGGTGTCGCTTGGGATTTCAGCGGGGTGCTTTGGGCGCAGGTCCAGAGTGCAGCCTGCCCATCCTGCGCATTGTCTCGAGTAGAAGCCGGGAGGTGAGAGAAGAGCAACAGAATGGTACCAGGGAGGAATTTAAGAAAGCGATGAAACAACACCCATTAGTATGAGTGGCAGTACCTACTGGGGACCTAACCAGCCTGTTGGAGGCTTTTTAGCTATTGGTTTATATACTTTTATGCATAAGACGTCAGCATGTTCTTTAGAATGTGCTTGTAGGTAAGTTTTACAGCATATGAGTTGCTGGTGTCCTGTTGTAATTTTGGAGTGGGCAACTGGCAAATTTGTGTTGTTACTCTAGGAGCCACAGATAGAGCACATTTATCCTTTATCAGAAAAAGACCGAAATATGTTTAAAAAACCTGTGTCTAGTGGATTATGGGAAAAGAACCTCACCCTACTTAAACTTTTCTGGAAGTTGGCAGGTGCATATGGTTCATTCAGTGCTTGTTGTTACGAGTCATTCTTAATTCTCAGTGCGTACCCAGTGTGTTTGTTCATTCCTTCTCTCCTTTTTCCTTTGAACATCAAAGTGCGCACCACCCTGTCTACTTGCAGCTGCGGATTCTAAGTAAGGCTTTTAGCTGCCCTAGAATTGGTTTTCAGGCCTGTTGAAGGATTTTGCCTCTGGCACTCTTCTCAGGTACTACTGCTGTGAGTAAGTAGCATAAGAAGTTGGTGATCTTAACTAAAAAAACTGTAACAATTTTCACATAAAATTACCCAGACTCTGGTGATTCACATTGCTTTTGCCATCTTTCCTGTGTTGCTCTCTGCAGGTGCAGAGCAGGGCTCTAAAATAATTCACCAAAGTTATTTGCTTGAAAATCCTTGGTTTGTTCTGAGAAACTATTGTTAGGTATTAAAACTGAGGAGCCATTGCTGACGATAATGATTTCTAAATTTGCATCTTCATGTGCTGTGCGGTAATCCAGACGAGAAATGAGCAGATTTATCATTCATACGACATGGCTTTAATGCGATCCTGATCGTATGCTTACTTTTCTCATAATTCTCTGAGAGTCAGTGGTATTAGCCATAGGGTTCCACAGCTTGAAAACAATTTGCTTGAAATCTTAATATCTGTTCACACTAGGTGTTTTCCATGAAAAATTGTATTGTCATTCAGCACAAAAAAAAAAAAGTTATGCATGAAGCTGAACTTCCAGTGTCAATGAATTTTAAACACCAACACCCTTGGCCTTCAAACTTAAAAGATCAAATCTTTTGTGTCTTAAAGTCAGTGAGTGAAACCCTGTGAGCCTTAGATTTAATGCATCATTGTTCTTGATTTCAGTCAAATGGGAATTTTCAGGTAAAGGGTTTACTTTCACAAGTTTAAATGAAAATCTGTTCCGTACCTTTGACTTGGAAAAGTGAAACATTCACTGATAGGGACAGAGTTAGAAAGAACTTTCTAAACGAGGCAGGTTGAGTACCACTTCTTCCTTGACAACAGGGATTAGATGAAAGAACAAGTACTGATGTAGTTTTTTGATTTTATACTCCCTATGGATCCTTAATAGATCAGTGATGCCCCTGTGCAATTTTAAAATATCTAGGACGTGCCTCTCTTCACCAGAAATATTTTAATGTTGCGTGGTTCCGGTCAATAGTTTGATTACCTAATTATCTCTGTAATGATTCACTCCAGTAAGAAGGCCATAACACGTATCCCACATCTGATTCTCAAAAGAGACAACTGGCTTCTGTTCTGTGTGAGGTGTTAGTATGAGTTCTTAGAAGCTGTATTTGTTTGGCAGTTTGCTTCCTTGTGGTTCTGACCACAGCTTTAGCCTAAGAGGTACAGGGCGTGAAAGCCGGTGTGGGTTGCGGTAATTTGCTGTACTGACTTGCTGAACTATTTGATGGGTAGCTTGTGTATTTTTAGATGTATTACTTATGTAAAGATTCAGCTTCTGTAGCTGAAAGAATTTGCAGAAGCAATAAGAAGATTATGGTTCAGTTTTGTGGCTGTTATTTAAAACACTAATTTAAGATTTAAACTCCCACTCGTTTCACAGTTTGCTTTTTTTATTAATCTACCCCCCACATTCCTCTCGGTAGCTGTTTTATTACCTTCGTTTGGCTGAAGATGCCTGTTGCCTAACACAAAAGTGCTTTCCTTCGCCGGCTCTTTGTGTCTTCGGAGAATAATTTTATTGCTAAAGTAGCTCTCAGTGGTTTTTTGTTTGGCTTGGGTTTTTATGTATGCTTATATTTATTAGTTTAACCTTTTGGAAATCGCAGTAGGAGCAGTTTACTTGCACAACTGTCCTTTAAACCCACTCCATCTAAGCAACTCCTTACTCATTGTTTTCTGGAACGCCCGTAACTTGCTTGAGCTGTTATGCTAATGGGAGACTTGAACGCTCCTTTTTTTCCTTTTGCTTCTTCTGGAAATTGTGATTAAAAATGTTACTGGAGTTTGCTTAGCTGAGGGATCAGCGAACTATTTTAAGTTTGGATGGTTGATTCGGGTTTTTTGGCCAAGCCTGACACTACTGGGATTCTCCTGAGGGGCAGGGATCTGTTGCAGTGTCAGGAAAGGTAAGGTGTATGTGCTTGATCCGAGTGCGGGTCTCGCTGGAGGTGAGCTTGAGGTAGGGCAAAAAGGAGGAAGAAGACAGCACGCCAACGGGTCTGTGCTTTGCTCTGGATTTGAAGGACCTAAAAAATGGAAGTGCTTGGTACCCGAGAGCTGTCACTGGCGCCAACCATACTTCACTGCATACCTCGATGTGGGGTTAGGAGTTGGAACTCACTCATTCTGGCAGACTGAGGCAGCCATGAGGTCATTTGATGGGTTCTCTTCAGCTAGTTCTGCGAGATTCTTTCCTGCTGTCTCTCACAGAGCCTGGAAACTGCATGACAGGGTGTTTTTGTTGTTGCTCTTGTTTGGTGGTTTTAATTTATTTAACGTCCCTTAAGATGTCCCTTAAGATGATGGTGGTTTTAAACAAGTGGTTCAACACAAGTACTTACTGAAGCTCTGTACAGCTCAGTGGAATTCCCCTCATCTGTGTGACCCGCTCATCTTGTTGCAGTTAATTTTGCAGCCTAGAAAGCTGAGGGCTCCCTTCTGCTCCGAGGAGGCTGTTCACCTTGCTGAAGCATAGGTTCTGGCTCTCGGAGAACCCCGGTAACAGTGGTATGAGCTGAACAAGCAGCCCCTGGTGATATATACAGCCACAAGCCTGGTGTCTCTACAAAATACATTGGCTGCCGTTGTGCAGGAGTGTAGCTTCCTTTTGTATTTTAACTTTCTTGACAGTGATGAACACTCTGATTTTCTAGGAGTTACTTGAGATAGGGATCCTTAGCTTCTGGGTGGTGTAGCAGTTTCTCTGCCAGCACCAGTTACTCCAGTACAAAGAGGACAGAGCCAAGAATAATGCTGGCTGGGTTGATTCAGTGAGGTTAGGGAAAGGACATTTCTGGCTAGCACTTAACATCCTGCCGTTTTTCCTTAGCTTTTGGCACTGTATAAACAGGGACGTTTTCCTTACCAGTTTTATTATACTGTGTTAGTTAAATGTAAAATCTAAATATTTACAGATCCTTTTGTTTTATTAACATTATGTTTAGGCAGTAAGACTTGGGAAATTACTGGTTTAAGGCTCATAAGGAAACTTCATACCTGTTTTTATGTAAGTCAGGCAAACAGAAAATAACAAAATTCAAACCCTTGCATTCTGCAGTCACGGTTACAGGATTGTCTATTCAGTTGTGTCTTCTGGGGGAGTTTGGGAAAGAAAAGAGCTTATCACAGGAACTGCAGGTTGTTTTAAGCCGCAGCCTGTTGGTTAGCTGGAGGAGGGAGATTGTAGGAACCTGCCAAAGGAGCTTATGTTAAAGCTGTAAAGTGACTCTTCTGAATATTTGCTCACAGTAACAGATCAAGCCTTTGTGACCCTTGCTACTGATGATGTGTACTGCCAAGGCGCTCTGGTTCTCGGACAGTCGTTGAGGAACCATACGACATCTAGAAAATTGGCAGTACTCGTTACACCAGAGGTTTCCACTGGGATGAGGTAAGGATTCATGTATTTTTTGGATGTTGCTATTATGGAAGAGTAAACAACAGCATGAAAGATTTCAGTAGGCTTCCTGTGGATTTCATGGCATTATGTCTGGAAGTTCCCCCTTGGCTAGCAGTTTCTGAGAGGAGTCCCAGATAACATCCATGATAAGATTGTTAGCCTAATAAGAATTCACTTGCAGAAGCAGAGCTTGCGGCAGGAAGTTATCCTAAGCCCAATATTTGGAACATAAACTGAAAGCTCAGGAACTAAGATTTTAGTGTCTTGATTTCGAGTCGAAATAAAGGCACTACTGTGGGGTGGTTTTCCCCCCCTCCAAGTGTTTCTCTTTTAGAAAGAGCAATTTACATAACCGTGTGTGACAACAGAAGTCTTCAAAAACCTTAGGGGCTCAGTGTCAGATGACTAATCTTCTTAAAATTTTGGTGCATGGCTGTCATGATGAGAAATCCATTTATTTTTGCCCTTTTTTTTTTTAATTCACTTTCTCATTTGTGTTGTGATTTTACGGGCGATACAGAACGGAATGAACAGAAATGTCATTAGATCTGTTGAACTCAAGCCCTGTTATGTGGAGGGCTGTGTTGCTTGTTGAAAGGAACACGACATGCCATGTCTGCTTAAACTCTTAGTTCTGCTATGGCTTAGCATGTGTGCAAGCTCCTGATTTCTCTATGCCATGTGAAAGTATTTGCAATGCATCTGGCTCAAAAAAAAACCCATACTTGCCCATCTTTCACTGTGATTAGATATATGGAAATCTGTTTTTACAGTTGTTTTTTAAAGTATGGATTTTGTCAGAACGCTATAACCTTCCTGAGGGAATACTGTAAACAGCACACCAGGGTGGATACTAAGTCCATTAGGTTTTTTCCATCCTCATTCACTG